GGGAATTAAATTAAATAACATACATAAACGGTTTAGCACAGACCCTGACCCCCACTCAGTAATACGTTCTTGATAGAAGGTGGCTCCCGTTCTCTGGTTTTATTATAAGCTCAGGGCCAATTAATAAAGAATCTTACGGTAAATGACTGATGACATATTGAGTTTTGAATGTCCACTTTCCCCCAAACTTAATAAGGTTTATAAATGTGAAATTGAAATGGATGACCAAACTATTAGAGCTCACACAAACCCTACAAAACAGTGAAGGTCAACGGTTGCTTTAACCTCTAATTCAGATCTGGGGTTCAGAGAATTCTAAAGTCTTCAAGTTCTGTACCATTCAAAAAAAATAAAATAAAAAGATAACCAAGTGATTTCATCGGATCACAGTTTAAGAGATATGAGAAGCAGTTTGGTCAGATGCTGTTTAAACCCTACAATTTCCCACTATTTGTTGGAACAAGTCACCCCATCCCTCGGTGCGTGCATTTTCTCACCAGTAACATAGGAATGTTATTGTTTTCTCCCTCTTGTGAGTCTTATGAGGACTAAACAAGTAGAATAGAAGTGAAATACTTAGCCCAGGGCCTGACTCAGTCATCATTCAACACATGTCAACTCTGTCCACTCTGGTATTACCGCCGACGAAGTGGTCTCCCTCTTATTTGAAACGTTTCCTGCACTCGCTATCCCGTTTGGTAGCTTTGTCACTGTGATGGGAAAAAATCTTGATATTGGTGGCTTGGTGGGGATCTTTAACACGTGCTATTAATTTGACATTTCTCCACGCAAACCTCCTTCGACCTGGATGGAGAATGGGCCCTGAGACTTCTCACCAGAGGGGCAGCCTGCAGGAACGGTGCTGCAGAGACAGAAAACAAGAAGCCGAAAGCGCAGAGCCTGGGGCAGCCCATGTGGATTTCATTAGCACCAGGTAAGGCGCTCACGTCAGGAGAGCACAGCCCAGTTTGGATTTCAGGCTACCCAGGCAAGAGGTCAAGGAGAAAATCCAAACATAAATCCAATCTGGAAAAACTGAAGATCCATTTATGTTTTATTTAGGAGGGACCCATAAATGCATCAGAAAAAGGTCTGGACATTTAGGAGTCCTTTCTTTCATCTCTGTTGGTCTCTACCTACTTCATTTATAACTCGGTGACTATGGAGGAGCTGGATCTACAATGTAACTGATAGGTTTATATTAAAATGTTTGTGGTCTTCATCCTTTCTTATGACCTATGAGCAATATTTACATTTTTATATTCTTTACTTTTTCCTAATTTAATATGATTCTTGCTTTTCCCAGGCCATGCCTCATACATTAAGATGTTTAAGATCATTAAAGGTGCTGATTACCTTCTGGTTTGTACCTGTACTTTCTCCCGAATGAAGGAAGCAAAGGAGATGATTATTTCCTTTTCTTCCCCTGCCTGTGTTCGCAAAAAAGATACACAGCAGCATTCGTCAGGCTTAGCCCTTGACTTCTCAATGTGTGTGTGTGTGTGTGTTTTGAAAACCTATCTGCAATGGAAAAGTGTTTATATTTACAAGTAGGGCAGGATATTTTTTTATCTGGGTTATAATTACCTCATCTGAGCCCTCATTTGGAACTGACAGCTCGATCATGAAATAGCCTCCACAGTAATTCACAAATACAAGTTCACGGCTAATGGGAAAGCCGAAAGTATGTACCCCCCTTTACTGCATGTTCTTAAAATTCCAGTTTACCTTTAGTTTTGCATGGAATCTTCTTTACTAGGAATCAACTCTTTCTGGACCAGAAAAATCAATTATTCTTGACTCAGCCAGTGCCATCTACTTAAGCAAGAATTATCAAACTGTTAAAGCAATGGGGATGTTCAAGTATTCTGGGTAATTTGGCGTAGTGTCTCAAACACCAGGTTGTTGACATGTTTGTGTTTTTGCAAATTAGACAAAGAACTGCAGTATAAACAGATATTGGGCTGAAATTTTGGTTGAAGGCATTTGAATTTGGATTTCTTATCATGATAAAGCTCCACACTGTCACTCCTCTTTCATGGGTCTCTGGATAGATGTCAAGTCACTTTTTTTTTTTTTTTTGTACCAACAAAGAATGTTGGTTCTGGAACAGTCAGTAAAAATGTGAGAAAGAGTAATAGGGAGACACGTGTGATCAGTACCGGGTGGATGTGACTCAGCATTCCAAGTCTCTCTGAGAAGATTCTCTTGTCCCTCTGGACCCTGTGGGGCACTGGAGTGCTGGTGGTGGGCCTGGATCCCGGGCAGCCCTCGGCCATAAACAGCGCAGGTTTCGAGCAGTTTCCTCAGGGGTCCTACAAGGGGGTGGAGGAGGCGGGGAGGGTGCCTCTGTGGGACCTGCCCAGGCCCCAGGGGTCGCTGAATGCAGATGGCCCTGCCCGGATCATCAATCCGCACCCACCCCATTTGTTCCCTCTGCCGGCTTCACCCACTTCAGCTCCCTGCCCTGCCCTGGGTTGCAGCCATTTGTGTTTTTGAC